CTCATCAATTGCACACCTAGTTCATCCTTATAAAATAAATCACCCTATGAGATCTTGTTTTCAGTAAAACTTGCCTATTCTAATCTGAGTGTCTTTGACTCTTTATGCTATGCTTCTACTCTTCAAAGACACAGATCAAAGTTTGATCCTTGAGCTGTTCCTTGTATTTTTGTGGGGTATGCAACTGCTCAGAAAGGATACAAATTGTATAATATGCACACAAACACTATCTTCGTATCTAGAGATGCCATCTTCCATGAAAACATATTTCCATTCCTGATCATGCCTTTCTAACTTCTCCTGGTCATTATGACATTGATTCCAATCAATCTTTGCAAAATCCTCTATTTCCTCATTCCTTCTACATCAGATTGCCTACCATCTAATTTTTCTCGAATATCATCTTCATCTCCTGCTTCAACTTCATCTCCCACTTTACCATCACAATCACATCCACATTCATCTTTACCTTCATCTCCTTCCGTACCTCCATCCTCATCTCCACAATTACATACCAACCACTCTCCCCGTAGATCAACTAGATCCAGGAGGCCTCCCAATTACTTACAACAATTTTATTGCAATCTTGCTTCCAACATAATTCAGCACAATTTGCTTCCTTACCCAAAGCTGAAAAATCCTATGGAATATCCAATACTTTGGGCTATGATTCTCTTTTAAAACACAGGGCCTATGTGATGTCACTTTCCACCAATGTTGAGCCTAGAAACTTTATGGAAGCATCAAAATCTTCAGCTTGGTGTCAAGCTATGGACAATGAATTCCAGGCTTTAGTTGCCAATAATACCTGGACCGTTACTCCACTGCGTGTAAATAAGGTGCATGTGGATTGCAAGTAGGTTTATAAAGTTAAACTTAATCAAGATGGGACTAAGGAAAGGAAGAAATCCAGACTTGTAGCCAAGTGTTTTACTCAACACTTCATTAGCAGTTGCAGCTAGCAAGAATTGACATCTTCATTAGCTCGACATCAATAATGTCTTTCTTCATGGAGATCTAGATGAAAAGGTATATATAATGATGCCCCCGGGATATGAACAGCTGGAGGAGCATGGCATGACATTAGTGTGTAAGCCAAACAAATCAATTTACGGACTCAAACAAGCCTCGAGACAATGGAACACTAAATTATCATCTTTCATTGTGTAGCGATCGAGAACTTTTAAATAATATAAAATTATTTCTCGAAAAACGTGTCGCTAAACTTTAACCCTAATTTTAAAGAGAAAGCGCGTTCGTCTAGCAGTTACAAAAACAAATTTAAATCTTTCGATCAAGTTTAAATATCGAATAATTATTTTAGTGTCAATTCCGATTTATTTTATTTGGATCCAATTTTAATAATTTCAAGTCCAATATTTAGGGCCCAAATATTTATAGTCCAATAACCTAAGTCCAAAGATTTAAATTATATTCATTTAGCCCAATTCTTGATTATT